GGGCGCAGATGAGGGCGTCGTGCGGCGGCGCCGCCTCCGGTGAGGCGTACTTGGGAAAATGTTATATTAGGTATTCTTCGAATGAAGCGCGGCCGTATGCGTATGCTAACGGAGGGGGCGGGGGATCCGACGCCGGCGAACACGGTACGGTTTCTTATTGGAAGCTTCGGTGGATGTATTATTGCGGTTTTGTTTTCTTATACTATTGCATTTCGTTTTGTTGAGAAATGTTGTGTGGTTGATTAAATAAGGTTTGGTTTGTGATTTTACAGATTTAGGGGGTGTTTTTATTAAATCCAGTTAAATATTAAAAAAAACATAAGTTTTATGAATTTATGAAAGTTTTATGTTAAATCTAGATTTAATAATTCTGATAAGGAGGTGAATTTATTAAATTTGGATTTAATAAATTCTATTAACTTAAGGTTGATATTTGGTGTGGTTGCGAGGGAGAGTTGATTTAACAATAACTTTATTTTTTATATATTTTATATTGTAAATTTTGATATTTTTTTTTTATAATTATATAATTCAAAGGATTAAATCTTAATTGCCATTTTTTTTTAAATTCTGATCATATGATGGATGTTCGTATGTAAAGATAGTCGTTGAGATTTGAGCACGTTATTCCCCAAGAATCTCAAAATATGTTCTAATATATCATGAGCCCGATAAAATATTCCGTCATGACACCACACGTCCGGACGGTCAATCATCAGCGGCCAAGTCATCATTGGGCAGTGTGATGGCCGGTGGTTGGCCGTCAAAATGTGCGGAAGTCCGAACATAACATGAGCTCATAGCTAATATTTTTAGGCAATGAAGAGGGGTTGAGTGGAGTGGAGTGGCCCTAATGAATTTTATTTTTCCTCTTTGTATTTTTCTTATTATTTTAAGAAGGACTATTAGAAAATATTGAAAGTTTATATTAAAAGTATTAAAAGCAAACAAGATAAATATAAAATTAATATAACTTAATTCAATTATTGATAATTATTCGCTAAAAAAATAAAAAATATATGTACACACATTTCGACTCTTTTGTTGTTACATTATTTTTATCATAATTATTTCACTCAATCACAACATATATATAAATATATGTGCCCTTTAATTATTTATTATTTTATATTTTACTACATATTTTAATATCATAAATTATAAGTGCATTATTGTTGAAATAAAGTGATTTAGGCATAGCTCATAAAGTGTTAATGTTACTCCATAATGCAAAACAGAACATTTTGCATGCATCCTTGATTCCTTGCACCCTAAGTTGCATTTTAAACTTTATAGAAGAAATATTATTTTATGAAAAAATGAAAAAATTAATAAGAACTTGTTAGCTTTAGGACATCAAAAAAGGTCTGTTCACGAATATTCAACTGCCTTTTATAAACTTTTAATTTATACGAATAATAATCGATCATTTTATGGCCTTAGTGTGAATATTCTTTGTAATTAATAGTTGATTGGATCATGTGAAATGATATTCATGTAATCATAAAATTCCGTAGATTCAAGGTTCTAAAGTTCTAAAGTTTACCAATTAAAAAAATTTAAGAAAATTGATGTCTTTAGATAGACATATGGACGTATTTGGGGCAGCGGCGCGGTGCCGCACCGCGCACCGCACTCTGTGCGTTTGACACTACAGTATTTTATCTAAATTTCTAAAAAAGTTGTGGTTGGAGCTGGTCTTTTGCAACCTGACACTATTAACAAATTCTGTCACAAAGTTACAATTCTGCAGCAGTTTCACAACTACTACCTGCCTAAATAGACCCTTAATTTATTGTTGATAAATCATAGCATAGCAATTAAAAAAAAAAAGAACTTCATTATTTATGGTCATAAATTTTTCTTCTAATTCCAAATGAAGATTTTATATAGATTTATATGTAGTGGAAATCAAAGTAGGATTATGAATTTGATGATTAAAAAAAAAAGGGTAGAATTAAGTCATTTGGACAAGAAATTCATTTTAAATTTAATAAAAGAAATCAAAATTTCATGTTTTAAGAAATTTGTAGACCATTATGGCTCTAATTCAATCTAGCCCCATGGCAAAAGTAAGGCTAATGATGAGGATTATTAATAAATATTAAAAAACTTTATTATATTATAATATCTAGCTAGCTAGAGCCTAGAGGAGTCATTTTTTTCTTAAAAATAGGTTGAAGTGCAAATACACATATTTACATAATTAAATTTGCACTATTTTCAAATAACACCTTGCCATATATACTTAATTATATCTCTTCCCCCAGATGTATAAGACAGCAGCCAAGAAAAACAAGGTTGGCATCAATAGAATTATATAATCTTACTATAAAAAGGTTCATATGAGGGAAGATTAGTATGAAACACAAATATTGTGAGGTATGATTGGCATTTTAATGTGTTGCTATTACTAACACTATAGACCTTTAATCAGATATGAGATACTTATCTGCAAAGTAAAAATTTACATGATTACCCAAAAGGCAACAAGCAAAGTATCTTTTCTTATTCCCAAAAGCTTCTTTTTCCTTACAACGAATCTGATTTGAGGAAAGAAAGCACTATCTTTATAAAAAGAATATCCAACACATAAACTTTTCATCTTTATCATCATGGCTGAACAAAGTCTCAGTATAATCCTCTATTATTTACATCTTTATCACCATGAATGCAGGTGATGATACTGGGAAGACACTGGCAATTATCATAGGGCTCATGGCAGGCGTGGCATTGATTATAGTTTTCCTCTCCTTCATTAAGAGAAGTGGAAGTGGTGAGTTATGTAAATTTAACATTAGTTTTGTAAATCGAAGTTTTAAATATTGATGAACTTTTTTGCAGGTAAATACTGAAGTGAAGTCCACCAGGGTTTGTTGGCTGCTTTGGTCTGATCAATCGGTGGCAACTTTCACTCTTCACCCTTTAGCTTTTAATGTTACTTTTTATGAATGATTTTTCTGAAAGGAAAGGTGGTGCTGCAAATAAGTGAAGCAGGAGAAGTTAACTGAGATATGAGAGGTTGCAAGCACAGCTGCTTCTTGTATAAGTTGGTTATGAAACTATAATTATTGTTATTATTTTTTTTTTATTTCCTGCTCATGTATTTTAAGGGTTAAAGAAGAAATGTAGGTTTTTTAATGTATTTTTCAGTGAATGTGAATTTAGAAATTATGTTATTGGGAAAGGAGTCAAAGTTTCGAATATTTATGATATTTGTGCTGATTTTTGAGGCAAAAATGGAATAGCTGCTTTGTAATTATTAGAAAGTAAGGTCTCGTTCTGGTGCCTTTCGTTCTAGCTCTCTTCAAGCTTTATGTTTTGTGATGTAATGAGCATAATGTTCTGACTGAATTTTCATTATGGGAATGGAAGTTAGATTTCTCATTGGATGATGGAGTGAACAACACTCTCAAATCATATGAAATATTTCCATCCCAAAATTTATTTGTTGATGTGAAAGTAATCTAGTTAAAAGATATTCTGACGGAATACTTAGGTGGATAAGTGGTTTTACACTTATAGAAAAAATGTGAAAGAAATATACTCGTGAAAGGGTTGGTGTAGCTACAGTGACAATTAGGATTAGAGGTAAAACATGGATAAATGTTCGCCAATTATTGACATTCGACAGCTCTAACAGGCCTTAATAGTTTGTTAACGCTCTGACTTCAACGCCGTATAAAACGTTTACGCCTATTAAAATGTTTTACTTATTGTCAGGTTTGACCAACCTTTATTAAATATGTCAATAGATCTTCTACAATAATTAAATATAATGTATTTAGTTGAATGTACTTTACAATATGTTGATTATTCTCATGTTTGAAGATTGAGATGGATATTCATACATCGAGAACTTGGATTACAACAGACTTTTTCTGGATAGAAAATGGATCACCTAAGAGTTTTTGAACGGAGTCGAAGCATTCATGGCTGCAGCATTGCAACTTTCATCTTATTTATCTAAGGGTATATTTTGATGTTCAAGCTCAAAATACAGGAATCAAACACACTCAACGCCTGACGAAGTAAGATATGATTTATATCCTTAGGTGTTTCAACCTGATTATTGGATTTATGCTTCGAATGGGGAGGTTGATCCAGCAACATTCAGTTCAGTTCCTTCAACGAGCTATGAACCTCCACCTGGATTTCACGGAATTAGATTTGAAGATATGATCTTTAATGGAACAATGTTGTATTACCCACGTTAAATGCAGGAAAATACATCAAATAAGAGGCTCAAACTTTTTATGATTTACTGAATGCTGCTCAAAAGACATTGTAAGATGGATGCACTTCTCATTCTGAGTTATTTGTGGCCCTTTTAATACCAAAAATTAAAATAGAGTCTAATATGCCCCGATAGCGCTTCAATCAGTTTGCAACATTATTGAAAGAGAATAATCCACTAAAGAATTTTGTTCCAGAAAATTTATATCGGACAAAAAAATTGATATAAGTCTAGAACATCTGGTGCATCCACTTCCACTTTATATGAGGAGGAGATATGTTGCCATGTTGCTGCTAAAGATACTACCCAGGAAGCCTCCCTAAGATCGGAGATGAGGGCAAAGATCGAAGCGGTGTTGCATTCGAAACTGCAGAAAGGGAAGGAGCTTGTGCTGGATGAGGGTGGGGATGATCATGATGAGGAGATGACACATAATGGTGAGAAAGTTCAGTTCAAGATTATTTTTTTCTTGGTTGCGTATTAAACAATTTATTATTAACGAACATTAGTTTTATTGTGTAGTTGTACATTTTTTTGTTTTAATTCAATTATTTTTCTTTTATTTATGTGTTAATTGGTTATGTTATTGTGTTGTGTTGTGTTTTGATTTATCTATTACGATTGCATGTATGTAGATTGTAGCATTGAAAGAGGGCTGCATATTTTTTTTCTTCTAATGGTACAGATTTTCAACGGCTTATCGGCGGTTTTATGATAGTTTATCGAACAAGCGAAGTCAGGGAAAGTGCTACACTTTTGCTACGGGCAGTGCCTTCAGTAAATTCTCACGGTTAACCAACAATTTAATTAATGTTTAATTAATTATTTAATTAATGGTTTGATCCGCTTGGTTGAAACTTCTATTGCTTAGTTCATTCCAATTACCTAAACCAAATACTAAACTCCACTCAAATCTCATTAAATACCTGCTAATTAACCTTGACCAAAATATTAATGGATTAATCACCCTTTAACTCTACTGCAATCAACATAACCAAACCCTAATACTTTTTTTTAGCCTTAGCCCAAAGTTTTAATTCTTAATAACCTTTCTAATTACCTTAAATTAACCTAACCGGGCACATTAAATTCAATAATTTAATTAATTAAAACACTACCATTTAATTAACCTATTAAAAAACCTCATTAATGTCCCTAATAAATTAATTAACTTCTCAATTAACTCATTAATATTTTAATCAATTAATTACAATTTTAATCAATTAATTAACATTTTTATCAACAAATCAATCAATTAAAATAATTAATTAGTTTAAACTTTAATTGAGCTTTTAATAACCTCAAATTAATTATTTAAAGCTTAACTAAACACTTCATCAATTTAAGAGTCCAATGAAATAATTAAATAATAACCTAATAATTTAACTTAATAATTAAAAACCTAACAAAATTATTAATAATTAATAAATTATACAAATTAATTGAATAATTAAATAATATAATCTAACCATTAATTAAATAATTAAACAATAGGTTTATATTGCATTATCATTATAAAAGAAAACACAATAAAAAAGCATAATAAACGTGGAAAGAGAGGGAAGATGTTCGGTAAATATAAATTTTAAATCCTAGGTGCAGTTGCCTAAAGTTGCTTTGGGCCAAGAGTCCAAAGCATAATTGGGCTCCCTGCAAAGGCTGCCCGAACACAACGCAATTTATATTGATTCTTTAAAAGCTTATCATAAAAATTATGAAAACATAAACAAATTCCCAACTAATTTTAAAATAATTCTCATTTTTTAAAATATTTTTTTTATAAATACATAAAACTTGATGTAAATAAATTTTCGGAGTATATAGAAAAAATATCAGCACAAATCCTAAAGAAATAAAACGAATCGAAGAGACTCTACTATTTCATATCAGAATTTTATTTGAAAGGTTATCAAACGGCTGGTTAGCTTAACACGCTTACCTAGACCATCGGTAAACACGTCAAACCTAAACGACCAGTTGAATCAACCGACCGACAGAATCAATCAGGAACGATGCAACCGAAAGCTATTAGTAAAAGTCAGTTTTCTCATGTATTGTATCAGATAGTCGCACCATTCATTAAAGTGGTGTTCATTCACTGTATTGGAGTTGTGGTTATATTAAGTACCAATATTAGGAAAAAGAAAAGACATACCCTCTAATTGCTGAGATAAAAGGGGATAATAATGTAATTGTACTTGAGCAACCTATGATTATAAATAGGGGTTGTTTTATGAATAAGGGTTACACACTCATTTTTCTGAAATTCACTTTATCATGTGTCATCTTGCTAATTTTTAACTCTTAGCCGTGCCGACTACCATAGGTTATCATTTAACATTTCGAAGTACTCGTACCTCTTCGAAAACTAAATGGCGAGTTGAATCAGCCTACCGACAAAATTGATATGCATGTGGGTAAAGGGAGAATGAGGGGAGGGGATGGAGTATTGGAGGCCCTCTCTACCTCTCAAAAAACCCTTCAAATCATTTTTTTTCCTTAAAGAGTCGGGAGAAAAATAAAAAACTCTCTACATCAGGGATCACCTTTAAGCCCATATATATATATATATATATATATATAGTTATGGTAGCGCCATGATCATTAATATGGCTGAGTGCCCACCAAATCTTGTTTTCTCGATTCCTGCCAAGGGATTGGTTAAATGAGGAAATGCCGAGTCCAACTTCACCCACGCTGAATTTGTCCAAACCTCAAGTTTTCTCTTCAAACTAGTTGGTTGGATAGTAATGAGTTTTTGAGTTTTTAATTTGATTAAATATGTGGAAATAAATATTTCCTTAAAGATATTTTGTCGGCTTAAATGGTATTAAGCTATGTTTAAATACATCAAATATAAGTGATAATAGTGATTTTACCCCCTAGAAGAGGATCTAGATTGGGGTATTTATGATATTTTACAAGCATAGGCTTATCTCTAGTTGTCTTCTACCTCAACTCGGTCGGTAGAGTCGGCTGGTGGGTTCTATCTTTGTTCCCTAGTGAAGAGTCTTTAGGTCTCTATTGGATGGACGACAATGTTTTGTCAAACCGACTCTTTTGTTGGGTCGGCTCCTCTGTGGCACAGGCTACCACATCGGTTTAGCTTTCATTCAATGGATGACTCAAATGCTCTCTTGGTTGAATGCCTTGCATTTAGATCATCAGATTGTCTTCTTGTCCGTCTTTAGGCTCGATCAATTCTGCCTAGTTTACATGTTTCAGATGGCTTGACTTGGCTCGTCTGGTTGGGTGATCCTCATGATCTTGTTGAAATGAATCTGACTCTATTCTTCTATCCTCTACTCTCGACAGTTCGATGCACACTATCAAAATAACCTCTTCTAATATTTGAATAAATGGGCTGTAAATTCCTTTGATATGTTTTAAGATTAGTGTAATTATGTAAAAGAAAATAAAAAATTATGAGATCCATTTTCACCTTATTTTTACATATTTAATACAATAAAAAAAATGTAATCAGCATTAATGTCAAATGAGCGCCGACTCATGCGAAACGCCGTTAGAATCCCGTTAAAAATATGGCATTAAATCTACGGTTCCGACCCGGAAAGAATCCAACAATGCTGACAAAGACCGAGTCTACGCCACGGTTTCCGTCCCATAATAACGTGTTTCGGACTTTTCTATACTTTGAGAAAAACGGGATCATTACTTTTATTTTTTTAAGTAATATATCTAATTAATTAATCTTATAGTTATTTTAAAAATGCTTTAAATATTTTTGAGATTGCTTGTTATTTATTTAATTTTTATTTTCTTTTATCATTAATTTTTCGGGGCATATACATATATACCACCTAATTTCAATGTATTTATATATCTAACACCAAAATTTTATTTTTCTATATTTATATCATCCAAATAATTTATATCACATTAAAAATGTCTCTTTTTTATTTTTTAAAAATAAAATAATTTTTTTTGCAAAGAAAAAGTGGTCTATTTATGTAAAAAATAAAATTTA